AAACATTTAGACGACTTACTTGACCGACGCAACAACTCAACTCACTCTAACTCGACCATTCGCAACCGCACCAAGCGAGCACTGACCCGCCTAGACAACCGGTTCGAAAATGGGATGAACCCATTGAACAAATATTCTGCAAATATGTGGTGGCGCTATGCTCAACACGTAGCGACAAAAGAAAATGCTTCCGACTGTTACGTATGTTCTCCGCTACCCATCAGCACTAATCAACCACGGCTAGCCGTAGCCCCCCTGGGGAAGTCTGAAGGATGTTTCTGCGGGCTCTCGGTTAGTGGGTGGTATGTGCCCCCCATAGTCCTGTATATATCCAACGATAGCGACAAAGATTCTTTGTTTATTTATGAGTTATCCCCATGGGAAACAATAGATGATTTGGACTGTGCACAATCTCACGATATCAAACGATACACGGCTAGCCAAACGTCTACATTCGCACTCCAGGCTCAGGAAAGCCGAACACGGTTTCCTCTCTGCTATGCTCGTGATGGGACACATCCAGTGGGGAAAACAGACCCTGCAAGGTGTGACACGATCCTCATTGCAGGAAACCATGCGTTTAATGATTTAAATTGCAATAAAGACCATTTCCCAACTTTCCGAAACGACTGCGCCAAAAACCACAACAGGAGCTTTTGCCAAGCTAAGGGCACTGCAGAAAGGGCCGCAAAAGTGCCCATTCATCTCCAAAAATGGTCGTGTTCTGGCTGGACTTTCACTCCAGTAAATCCACGAGATTGCCCGCCCAATGTTAATTGTTCTGTTTTCCATTTCACTTTCCTCCCTGGGAAGAACGGTACTTATCCAGTGACCGAGGGATGGTGGCTGTGTGGCACCACCCTCCGCGTGTCTCTCCCCCCTCAGTGGAGCGGAATATGTACTCCTGTTCGCGTTACTGATCATACTTTTATTCTCACAGCTACAACAGGGACAAGCAAACGAAAAAAACGAATGGCCGCATTGGACACTGGCCTTAACCCGGAAGTCAATTTTGCGCCACACGACTCAATCTGGGGCAGCGATGTGCCTGACGAGTTCAAACACGCCAGTACGTCAGTTAAAGTTTTGTGGGGACTGTTTCCATGGACAGGAGTGGGAAAAAACACGCTACGACTTGAAACCGTTGATTACCGTTTCAAAAGCTTTGTAAACATGACTTTAGCTGGCCTTAAGGGTATTCGCGAGGAAATGACCGCCATGCGTTTAATGATTATGCAGAACCGCATGGTACTAGACCAATTGACCGCTGCCCAAGGAGGTGTTTGTGCTATCGTAGGAGAATATTGCTGTACGTTTATCCCTGAGAATGACAAAGACGAAGGCATAATCCATCAGGCGATACAAAACATGACAAAACTTCAGGAATCTATGACAAGAGATAAATCTCCCTCCCCAGATTGGCTCACACGGGTGTGGTATTCATGGAAAGGAACACTAATACAAGCAGCTACTATCCTCTGTGTTCTCTTCGCGTTCGTAATTTGCGGTATCCCATTGATCCGTCATACGATTGCCCAACTCCTGGCGAAACAAATGGCTATGTACAGCCTGGGGTCACCTGATGACTCACCACCAAACTTGTTCCCTAGACGCGACTCTGACAATAACCCCAACAGTGACTCGGACTCCCTTGACGAGCTGAACACTTACGACCTCGACACATACGCATAGTGACATAGTGACACACTGTCTGTGTGCATTCCTGGTGTTCTAAATGTTTTTGGTTTCACAGTAGCTTGCTAAAACAATGAGAAATAACATTCTCGCAAAAACAGCTTTTACTCTTGCATTTATTAGTATGTAACGTAAATATGATTGATATAATGACCTTTCCACAATATTCTATATCTGTATTGTGTGAAAGGGGATCAAGTTCTGGTATTGTGATTTAAACATGTTCTCATTCCTTTTTTTATTTCAATACTGTACACATGACATCTGGGGTGTAACGCTCAAATCCTGTGAGAAGGTTTCCAGTCTTTATCTTCTCCTAACAGATTTCTTCCTATTTTCCCATTTCGGAGGGTTTTTTTAGGGAGTTTTTGTTCTGTGGCAGGAAAAGTTTTGTGAGCGATGTCCAGATGTTCATGTTTTGTGATATTTGATGTGGTAGATATCAGCTAGTGAATTTTTAGAGTAGTCAATCTAAATTGATTGCATAGTTTGTGATTATTATGTAATCAAAAGAGTGGAATGTAATGGGAAAATGATATGTGACCCTTTTAAATGCTTCATTCGTATAACCAGTTTATTAGTTGCAAGTGCTTAGGTCACAAAGGCCCTGACATAAGAACTGATGTCTCCCACTTGGATTAGATGTTTCCAGCGTCATAGCTGTAGAGATTGAACAAAGTGTTTGTTATGTCTATGACCACCTTTGTTTTTGAATGTTGGGAGAGCAAGGATACGGTCAAAGAGCTGACGTGTCTTACATGGATAAGATGTTCCCAGTATCCTGACTGTAGATACTCAACAAGATGGTTAACGGTTTCTGTTGACGCCACCGATATCTAAGTTTAGGTATAAGAACTGCCTCGATGTGTTGGGAGGAAAAAGGAGGTTCTTGACAGTCTACTGACCACGTAGCTGTTGTGACCCTTTTTCCCTTGCAAGGAAATAAACGGAGAAAAGACATACTTGACTCAGAGCCTTTGATTCTTACTTAACGATTGTCTGTGCAAAATCTTCCACCACACTGTCTACAGATCCAACAGGGCCAAATAGCTTAGCACAGATGCTCCTGTGTCCGCCCGGTCTCTTGGGCTTGGATCAGAGAGCCAAATCCTCTGGGGTTTTGTTGTGTTTATGGGTATCGGTGAACACATGCCTGTGTGTGTGTGTGTGTGTTTGTAGGCGTAAATGAGTCTGAAGGATGCCAGCCCTGCCCAGAACAACCCAGCTTCACACCACCACAGAGATGTGGCACAAAGAGACCACTGAGCAAGTGAGAGAAAGAGTGTGCCTGTGTTTTGAGGGAGTATGTGTGTGCGCGCGCGCGTGTGTGTGTGTGCACTTTCTTCATGCCTCACTAACGACCGCCGCATATGAACGTGGCCTTGTGCCGGAGGAACAAAGTGAGAGAGTGTTTGCTAATTCGGAGAGGGAAACGTATCCTGTCTTCCCCCCACATTGACAACCTAATTCTTCACCTCTCTACCTTTCCATCACCTCCCATGACCCCTCGCCCCCCCCCCTCTCCCCGCCACACAAGACCCCTTCGGCACATATTCATTCCTACCTTTCCCACCTTCTCTCCACTCTTTCCTTGTGTCTTTTGCTCACTTTTTAATGGCCTGATTTCAGGTTTCCATCATTTGCCAACTCCAGTAGAGGTTCCAGTTTAAATAAACCACTTGTACAGTAGAGTACAGTATGGCAGTATGCGTGCACGTGCGTCCGCATGCCGTTCACCAACCATGTTACAGTAGACCCATTTATGTATGAAAAAATGGATAATTTAAGGTATTTGCCCCTATAAACACAAGGGTGATTATAAATGATTCCAATTTCAAACATCTGAGAAAAAATGCATCCAAAGTTCTTTAAAGAAAATATTCCTCATGTCGACTAGCTTGACTGGGTTTGAAACGGCTTTCTGCAAGCAACGATGTGTAGCAAAGTAGACCGGGACAAAAAAAAAAAGCAATCAGAGGCATTATTATATTATAATATATAATAAATATAAAATATTATCGCTTTGCTCTCTTTTGGGGTTCGGAAATCCCTCGAGGGAGGCCTCACTCCTTTGTTCTCATCCCGGCCGGAAACAAAGAATCAAAAGAGTCAGCTTGCTTCAATTCAAAAATCAAAAAGTATTTAATAACTAAACAACGTTTTAAGGAACACAACACACAACAACAGTCCTTTCCTCACTTTGGTCCTTTGAAAACTCTTGAGGTGTGTCTTCCTTGGTGCATTTGAATGTCATTGGCTTCTTCTTCAGAGTGTCTCCTCCTGGACTGTCCCCTTCACGTCGAGGTGTGAAGCTGCAGCTGTAACCTGAACCTCTCTGTCCTATCTGTCCCTCACATTCCAATGCACTCAATGTAGATACATTTGGCTTTATGCCTCAATGAGTGAATATAACAAAGCATACATAGTTTGTCTTCATCTTTTAACTAGTACACCTTAATTACAACACATCATTAATGATCACTGTTCATCACACTTCATCATAAGATCTAAGACAGTTCATGTGGTTCAATTCTCAAGACATTTGCCCCAGTTGGCTGCCTTACATTAAGTTGTTCATTTATTACCTGACAGGAGAAAAAACTCCCAAAAACGCTCTTTGGGGATAAAATTGGGAGAAATCCATAAAGGACGGCAATTAGCATCCGTTTTAACATCACATTGTGACAGAATGTTAATGTGTGCAGTGTTTATATGATTTAAATGACTATGAATTGTGTTTGATTCAAATTGCATTCACTTCATCTAACATGTTAATGTAATAACTAATATCTAACATCACAAACTACAATTCTAGCACTAAACATTATTATACGTATTATAACTCCATGACTAGGGGGGCACGTCTGGCTTAAATCCCTAACAGACACCAGAGCTCCACGGCTTATTTTTAGAAGAAGTCAGTTGACTTTCACAATAAAAGGCACACGCTCAGGCTTATCACAAGCCAAAGACTCTTTGTTTTTATAAAGCTCACTGTATTATCGTTGCCTGGTGCTTGGCTGTCTGGAATAACTGTCTTTCTAGCAGAGGAATGTATTCCTCTCTTGCGTGTGGGAATAACAAGGTGTGTTATTATTGGAGAGATGTTCAGAACATGGTGAAGTATCTAAATAAATATGACACATCAGTTTATTATGTCTGGAACGAGAAGAACGTTCTTCACCGTTGTTCCTTTATGATTGTTAATATAGCTCAGAGGAATTAAAACATGACATTTAAAAAAAAGAGTGGCCACATTGGGTACATGCATGACCACAGACTCATCTCGCGCCACGCGTACTCACTGAGTTCAGAGATGCTGCCCACACAGGTGGCCAGCAGGGACTGTTCCAGCGTCCTCAGCTCTAGCTGGGCATAGGCGTCTTCCCTGCTGTCCACAGACGTCTGCTGGTTCTCTGTGTAGGGACTGAAATGGGCCGGGAGAGACAGAACTCCTACGGAGAAAGAAAAAACAAATCAGAGAGGAAGGCGTTCATGATTAATACAATAAGCGCTGCGCACGTCAGCCACATCCATCCACAATCCCCCCCCCCACCCAAAAAAACACAGTGGTGTTCACGTAGTGCGTTTGTGACCGTGGTAAGATGTAACCAACACCACACAAGCTCTGAACACACTTAGGAAAATAAACAGAGCGCAAAGTGATATCAGGCTAATACAAACAACACTAATGCAGCCTGCGCCAGAAGCTCTGTAAGCAATATCAAGACTCGGATCACAAGCATTATACAAAATGAACGTCACATACCGTACATGATTAATACCTGCAGGTATCTGCAGAATAAGCAATACAAAGATGGTTACAGATTGGTAGATGATCGTGGAATGGCGGGTATGCCATTCACGTGATATAGGAACCCTTTGGCGATGGGTTCATATTTAGACATTTAGGATGTCATCAATCGACAGTCAGACAGGGGTCAAAGGACACCAGAACCCCAACGACCTCTACTCTGACCTTTTATTACACTAACACACATATACACACACAGAAACCCACATGGACAGATTACAAACCCTTTTAAATAAAAGTTTATACCATATTATCATGTTTCCCTGTAAACTCCACTATAGCTGAGAGCTTCAACTACAACGAACGAAACGACTTCATGGTTGACCTGCACGAAATCCACTGATTTTATATATTTTTTCTAGGGTACTTGTCTGGTATCATGGCTTGTGTTAGAAAAACAAACTATACAACTTGTGTCTCTGTAAGGGCCCTCTGGAGACCCAGTCAGACAGACAACACATTGTATTGAGGAGAACATATGGAAATCTGTTAAAAGGAGTTTAGCTTACTCCTCTTCATAAAGAAATCCCATGACAGACTGGTTATAGTATGTAGCAGTTAAACACCACGTTAGCTTTTATGTTTTATGTGACAGCAATACTTATTGCCGGTAAAGAGATATTACATAAAGAATGAATGTCATCCTGATATTGCACTGCTGTAACCCCCTCGTGATTGTTGCTTTCTAGATAGATTCAATAGAAGTTGTGACAAGTGAAGGAAAGAACATGTTGACTGGTTTTCTCTTGGTTTTTGCTGGCCGTTCGGCTGTTTGCTAAAGTAAGATCCAGGTCTGTGTGCTAGTTACTGTTCGTCCATCTGGGTGAACACGGTTAGCCGCCCAAAGGTTAACCTTTATTTTGGCTTTGGTAGAGCAATAGGAAGCTCTCTGCCAAGCCAGAGGAAATGATTTGTGGTTTATCATTTCAAACTCTCCCTCCTCTCCAAAAAGGGGAGAAGATGGGCTGCTGCTCCTAAAACGACATTCCCATCTGCTTCCGGCCACCGGTGTCCACTTTTGGAATCTGAGAGGGTCGTTAAAAAGAAAATCCCCATCTCAGAGGAGACCGAGCAGAGACAAAAATGAGCCCACTGGTCGTACACTTGTAACCGCCACTGGTTCAAGAATAAACCTTTTCACAGAATGCACTTGTCTTGCTTATATCCTTGTGCAGCATTGATTGAGGGATTGTGGGGAAAATGTGCTCAATTACTTTGCCAATCCTGGAACAAGTTTGGGATTTCCCCGACCAGAGACATTCTTAGTCGACTACATCTTGTTTGTTTGCGCCTGATGGGCGAGTTTCTCTTTCACACCAGCCACATAAACACAGAATAGACTCAAGAAACTTGATCCGACCGAGACCCACATTGAGTTAATTGACTGACCGACTGAGAGGGACCGGCCCAAAGTGCGTGAATGAGAAACATAAATCGATAGAATCAAAGTGTCGTCTATTCCCCGCGCCTCTCTCTGGTGCTTTCTCTGCACCACGTGACTCGTGGAATATGTGCTGACTCCCCGTTCCGACACAATGGAAACAGCTGAGTCTAGCAGAGAGACGGCGTGCGTCAGACAACACACAGGCTCCAACACGGCCCTGTTCACTCACACTAGCGCGCACAAATCCATACGCACACGTCCGTGCATATAAAGTATGTTTGCGCCTCTTTTATGCGTCACCTCAGGTATTGTGAGGATTATCTAAACCGGGGGGAAGCATCCGGAGCGCGAACATTTTTACAATAGAGTCTGCGTGAATCCCTGACGGCCTCGGACTATCGTTTGACAGGAAAAAAAAGCTGGGGAGATTTTCATAGCGATGGCTGCATGCCCGAGGGACCGAACATTATTGTGTTATCTTTTCCATGTTCTTCTCCCCTGAAGTGACTGGCTGCGTGTACATCACCATGTTTTATGACTGATAAAATCCCATTGGCCTCCCCGATTTGATTATGTCAGAGACTCATGCCTCCCGAGGTGTCAGAGCCAATCTGAGAGATCCGGTCTCATTAGTCTGGGTGAGGGCGGAAGGAAATGATGCGTTCACAGGTGTGCGTGAGCAACGGCGTGTTATTCTGACTCCCTGCAGTGCACGTGATTTACAAAGAACGTCACATTGACGCATCTACAGTCATCAAGCTCCTATACATATAACAAACGGTTCAAAATATGAAACCTAAATCACACCCGGGGGACCAATTTAACACCAGTATACTCCAACTATATTGAGCAACTGTTAAAGCACAGCTCTTGTCCTTTTCTTTCTTGTACTAAAGCAAGCCAAATTAAAAACGATCCCATTTCGAAACATCACACTTTACAGTGCTGTGATGTGTAAGGATCCGAAAGCTTTGTGTACTTTTGCAGATTCATCCTCAGTCTATATTTAGCGTGCCAAGAATTGACTGTCCGGAAGATGTTTTGAAATGTTTACGTAGTTTTGATTTATTACGCCATCGAGCTGTGGCAAATATCCACACACGACTAAACTCTCAACTGGTCCGCGACAGCAGATTTGCAGATTGTGAAAGGCGGCACAAAGGGATTCACCGTCTTCCACGGCGGTTGACCCTGCAAATGTCATGTGGGGTCGCTGCTACAAATCAGTGCTGAAACACACCAGGAAGCCCGAGACCGTCCCGAAAGGTCTCACAAAACACGCGTTGCAACGTCTCCTGGCACGGTCAGGACGTCAGCGACAACGATGTTGGACAAACTGCCACAACAAGGTGAGGGAAAATCCGCCCGTTATGCTGAAAGTATTGGAAACTCTCATCTCGTATTCTTAACATTGACGTCACATCAAATTTCCATTTAATGTCAGGAAATCATAACAACTTTGAATCCGCTGATGAAATGGCAACAACCACTTTTAAGTCAACAGAACTGAACGCACCGCTGACTTTTCCCACAAGCCTCGGCTTGTGATTTCTGGTCTCCCAATGTCACGATTCTTTCTACTTCACTAGAATGTTGTGTACGTTTGCACGCATGCTTTGTAGCTAGGTTTGGGCAGATAATATAGACTTGGGAAGACATCACTGCTTCAGATGCCGACCTTTTCAGCTAATATTTCAAAGTTTTGGGGGGGTTTACCTTAAAAAAAACGGCTAGACCAATGACTATCAATCCTCACATACCAAGACTTGACGTTTGGCTGAATTTCACATTTAGAACCTTTGGCTCATTTGTTCACTATGTCGGGCTTTCATGAGTAAAGATAACAATAACAAATTCAACCCAGTGTGACAATAAAACATCCAAAAATTGACCCCCGCTCAGCCCTGGTTACGATGTATCCATGGACCATAATTGGTCTCTGTGTACAAATGTGTTTTGTCCACCGTAGAGAGCGTGCGAGAGACGGACAGATGTGATTGGCTTGTCTCCCGCTCTTTGCTCTTGGTTAGGTGACAAAAAAAATGACACACATAAAGCAGTGAGCACCTGCATTGTCTCTTAACAGCCTCTTCATTCATTACAGGGTGGATGAATCAGCGAGCCAGGGGAAAGGGGGCTTCAAAGACACTTCCCCTGCCCAGGAAGAAGCTGTGATTGTGGGCCAGGAGGCTACACGCGGGTCCATGTGTGCAGGCTGGACGCTCACACAATAGCACAGTGTTTGGCAGAGCTGTTATTGGGTGTGTATCACCCCACCAGACAAAAGACCCACACATGCTTGCGGTTTATTTCGTGTCAGTTGAAGACCAAAAGGCCAGATGTGATCCTCCACTCACATGCCTTACCTCCTATTCTCCACACTTAAAAACAACCAAGACACCTGTTTTTCACGCGTCCAACCCCTCGCACCCACACCACATTCCTCCAGCCGTTTCGGTGCAAAACACAGGTCTTTTGTTGGAAGCACTGAGCAGGATTTGTTTTCTGAGAGAATAACTGAGATTGATGAATGAACTTCATTGTACGTCTCTCAATTTCAGCAATCAGGGTTAAAAATACCCGTGCGTTTGCTTGCTCTGGCCGACCCTCATCCGGCTCCTTATCTTGAGAGAATTCAGCTTGGACAGAGGGGCACTTAGAAACTTAAAGTGGTCTATTAGTATTTTGGCTAAAAATAATCTTTGCTTTGACATGTTAGAATATAAGCATGTCTTTCAAAACGCATATGTTTATACATGTGGATTTGAGGGTGTACAGAGGAGCGTTCACAAGCTGAAGCTCCTTACAGTGCCCCTAACCCCAGTGGGCCTTGCCCTTTGACCTTTGTGCGAGTGACTCCAAATGTTTCTGATTTGAAAAAGGCATCCCAAATGCTGATCTCACAATCGCAAACAAAATACCTGACCGAGATACACAAGAAATGTGGGGTCTGGTCGACGTCGCCCGACACCTCTGGTGACCGCTCGGCTTTGAGGGGTCATGGGTCAAAGGTGGCGCTCAGCTGGGGCTAAAATAGGAAGTGACCATATCAGCGGTGCAAAAGGGGGCTTCCCTCAATCCCAGTGAAAACACCCACACACGTCATGAATCACCGGAGGACTCAAACTAAGATGGAAAGATGGGGATGTTCCCATGTTTGTGAATTTGAAGAGTTATAAGGGATTTCATGTTCCTGATCAGCCCGCCGGTCTCAGACTGAGGCTATAATCCATCATTTAGATTTTGGGTAGGAAGAA